TGAACAGCAGCGAGCAGCCCTCCCCAGAACCCTTCTGCGCAAGTCAGCAGTCAAATGACGAAGGATCGCCCAAGAGCCTTTGGTGGGCTTTGACATGTAAGATGCAAGGTAACGGATGCAGAACTGGGCCTCTGGAATGTCAGCTAAGAAGGATCCCTACGCAAGACCTGAAAACAGAGGCTTCGGCGGGCGGCAGCTCAGGATCATCATTGGCCTCAGTCGGGAGAGTGCCTGTTGGCATGGGCGATTGTCGCGCTCGCACTTTCCCTTGGCTCAGCCCTGTCATGTCCAGGAGGCGCTCGAGGTGCTTCCCGTGGACTTGGACGCAAAGCTCACCATCCGAAATCAAAATGTGTCTCTTCTTCAAAAACATCAGCTGATCATTCACATCTCGGATCCACTGCACAGAAATGGTGTATTTCTTGCTAAGCTGGGCACAGCAGTTCTCTAGCACAGCAGTCGCGCCGGCGGCAAGCAAATCGTCCACGTGGAGGAGGCCGGCGCCCTGCCTGTCGGGAAACCGCACGATGGATGCCATTTGCGCCATCGGCTGTGTCAGTGTTCGGCCAGGTAACCGGAGAAGTCACCGAACCATCGGCTCGACCCATCACGCTGGCCCGGGAGACACTTGTCCAAGCGAAACCACAAAGTCTGATGCCCAAGCTTCACAGAAGTCACAGTGGGCTCGCCCTGGCTGCAAGTCAAGTAAGCATCTGCAACGTCGACGGCAATCATGGACCATCCAGCGGCACGCTGCTGCATAAACAGCGCTGGGATGATGCGAGTCACGATGGAGCTGCTGGCAGGGCTAAAGAGACCCTCGCGATGGGGATCCAGAAAGGCGAACTCCCTCGCCACCAAACGAGCCCTTCTGAGCCAAACCTCCTCGCCCCCTATGCATTTCTGGCGCCATGACACAACGAACTTGGTGCTCAACGTGCGATGGCCTGGCAGCGGCCCTGCAACCTGCACAAGGACGCTCTTGGCGCCAAGGCGGGCAACTTCAAAGAGGGAGGCTTGCCTGTCGGCCTCAAACAACTCTTCGGCACTTAGCTCGGGCTCGTGATCCGACAGGTCGCGGATGAGGCACTTGGGAATGCCTTCAGCAGTCACTTCATAATCCTCATCCTGCTCATGCAGCTGCTCGCTCAACTCATCTTCATACATCTGCAAACTTTCTGAAACTTCAGCATCAAACTGCAACTCCAATGTTTCATCTGCATGATGGAGTTCCTCTGCGTTGCTGCTGCGGGCTGACCTGATCATAACACTCCGGAGAAGGCGAGGCCGCTTAGGCTCCGGCGGTACTGCAGAAGACGGTTCATCCCCGCCTGGCCGGGATCTCAAATCCTGAAGCAAAGTATCATCCGGGACACGACCGTCCGGGAGAGAAGCTGGGGACGGAGAGTAATCGATGGATGTTCCTGGAGTGACAGGCGAGTCAGTTCCCGCGATTTCCATGGGCGATGCAGCAACAGGGCGGCGGTCGCCACGATCGAGAAGCAAAGTCGGGCGGCTAGAAGGGGCCGCGGTTGCGACGCTCGGAGGCATCACTGCTGGAACTTCACTCTCCTCAGCCTGCGCGGGCAGCACTGCTGGAACGGCAGGAGAAGCTGAAGCAAGTTGCTCTCGCACTGGAAGTCCTGCCGGTGGCATGACATTCAACGGCACATCTGGCAGTGGCACGGCTTTGGGAGCACGCAGCTTAGCCTGAGGAATCATTTTCGTGCCAATGGTCCCAAGGTGGTATAGTCCCATGGCACGCCCTTGATGGCTTCAGCCAGAGCTTGCTCGGAGGCCCATGGTTGGCCCGTCCGGCGGACTGATCGGGCGAGCTGCACGCCTCGAGGAGTTGCCACCACAAACATGTCATTCACACTGCTCTTCGTCAAGAAGATCGACATGGTCCAGCGTGGGGAGCCTTTCTGGCTCGGGCGTACGTACGCCCAGCACGGCTCTGCGAAGGGAAGGAGGCGACCATTGTAGCGGCATCCAGAGCACGCTCATGAGCAGTCAACCCGGACTTGACATGAAACCGGTTGTACAACCAGCTGGCCTGCACCCAGGCCCACGCAAAGAGCGGGTGCTGTACCGGCAATGCGAGGTCAAATTTGGACCGGGCTTGCGACAGCAACACGTTTGCAAGATTGCGAATCACATCTATGCTCTTCTCGGCTTCTCGGCATTGCCATTCTGCTGGTGCTCATCAATGCCTGGATTGCGGATGCGAGTGCGGAAGCCGAGGCGCTTCCTTGCTGCCAGAACTAAGCCTTGGAGCTGCAACATGCTTGGCTCCTGATCGCACATTAACTCGACCTCGGTATGGCCGAGGAGCTGGCAAAACCTGACGAGCTCGCAGGCTGCTGATCGCATGCTGTTCCCAGACTTGTCCGGGAGAGGAAGTGCAAAGATGCTTCCGGTGTGCGAACAATGACCGACAAGGCAGGTGAGCTTATCCCTATCCGAGGCATCGGGTGCGCCTTCAAGCTGGTTCCCGGCACTGTATCCCGTGTAACACAGACCGTTGTCCCGCTGTTTGAACCAAGAAGGCTACGGCTCTAGGGTGGCAAGGGGTTTCAGGGTTCACTGGCAAGGTTAAGGTACAAGGTAAAACAAGTTCGCAACATTCCAAACATGTTCAAACTGAATGCGCACTCACTCGGACTGGTCTTCATTTTTGCGACGTGTGTCGGGACTCTCCGGATTCGGTCTGCACAGCCTACGGGCTTCAAGGAGAATGCATTGCACTTACGGCAACCGGCTGATCGAACAACCGGCAACAGCTCCCCCTTCCGTGCGATACAAGCACATAGCAGACGTTGGCATGCAAGAGTGACACTTGAAACACAAGTGATGCCTTCGGCATTCAAGGGCGGCGTGGGTGGGACACAAAATTTTTCCTCGTGCCAAAGTGGCAACGACATTCGTACAGTTGACCTGAGCTCAAGCAAAACGCAGTTAGTGCAGACAAGCAAGAGGAACTCATGGCATTGCAATCTACGAAATTACCAAAGTACTTTCCAAGCGGCGCGAAGCCTGACGCAAAGTTTTTCACTTTTCCCCCGGCCCACCCTCCCGGCTCAAACCACGAGACAATCCTTTTGGGGAACCCAAACGGTTTGTCCCGCTGTTTGAACCAAGAAGGCTACGGCTCTAGGGTGGCAAGGGGTTTCAGGGTTCACTGGCAAGGTTAAGGTACAAGGTAAAACAAGTTCGCAACATTCCAAACATGTTCAAACTGAATGCGCACTCACTGGGACTGGTCTTCATTTTTGCGACGTGTGTCGGGACTCTCCGGATTCGGTCTGCACAGCCTACGGGCTTCAAGGAGAATGCATTGCACTTACGGCAACCGGCTGATCGAACAACCGGCAACAGCTCCCCAACTTGAGACCGGCCGTGAGAGAAGCCGACAGCCTCACCATTCGGTTTTGTCAAGTAACTTCTGTCTCTTCGTCACTTTCGGTTCAAATGCCTTTACACCTGCGAGCCTCGCCTTCTCTGACAAGAAATCGGTATGGGCCTCCCGAAGCATGTTGAACAAGTCCAGCGGGAGGTCAGACAATGACAAGGGAACCCGCAAGGCCTGATCAAAGTTGCTAGTACGAAGATTCGTCAGGTCATCTGCATCCTGGTTCTCCTCCCGTGGGCGCCAAGACAGCCGGCACAACTTGTTGGCGTTCCTCAAAGACAATGACAATTGCATATGCAGGCCCTGCACTGGCCACTTGTTGCTGATGCCCTTAGCCAACACTGCTGGGGTAGCAGAGTTGTCCGTGCCAGCATGAACCTGCAAGCGAAGCGAGTCTCGGCCACCTGAAGTCTCAAGATGTTTGAAAGCAACCAAGCCGGCATAAGATGCCAGCAACTCCGCAGCCGTAGATGCCCATTCAGAAGATCCATCTTCCTTGAAGAGTGCCGGAAAATCCGCTGGAAAGATTTCCAGCGCAAACCAAGGTGCCCGACGCGTGTCCATGCCATGATCAAGTGACCATCCCCCTAGCACGATCCGTCCAGATTCACATTTGGCATCGGTCCTGAAGGCCTGGCGCTCGCACGACGGCCAGCACATGTGCACGGCATCAAGACGGGCCCCATTCAAGAACTGCCACCTGAAGAACCGAAGGACATGGATCACCATCTCAGGGACCTGGGCAGCCGTGCTCCGGTTCAGCACGTTGTTCCAAGCATATAGCGGTGCAAGAAATGGCTTCAACCAAGTTAACAGCCGTGTCACGAAGCACAGGCGTCCCGTGAACTCCGTAAGCGCCCGTCCGGTGACCACCCAATTCGATGACTCGACACGGTTGATCCATTCGATAATCCAGTTGGCTCGTTTCTCAGAGATGCCGGCTGCCCACTCGTAGTAGCTGATGTGGTAGCCAATGTAGTCCACACTGACGCCCCCTTTAAACTTGTGGAACGAGAAGGGTGTCCCCAAAACTTCCATCGCCAAGAACAGGACCCATAAGGTTTCAAATTTCTCGGCACCGTACACCACCACATGAAGGTCATCGACATAAATAAGCATGTAGAACTTGTCGTGGTGCAGCACACGGAAAGTCCACCTCCCTACAGTGGCGAACAATCTGGTCCAGTAGTAGGCCGCTGAGCTGACCCCGAAAGTTCCTACCTTATTAAGCCACAAGACGCGTGATGTGCTGGAAGATTTACACGCTAGCCGTGCCCAGTCGCACTCCCTGATTTTGGCATTCCGGTGGGCTTGGCTAATGTCGGCACAAAGCGTAAAAGGAGCTTCTTTACTTTCTTTGACTCGGGAAGCCACTTCTTGAAGATCTTCAGGTCCCGGAACTTGTAGCTTGTCAAGGATTTTAATAGAGTTGTTCAGGTTTATGCCATGGGTCCCATCGTGTAATGGGCGCACGTCACCGTTTGCCTTGGTGACAGCTCCCATAGCTGCTATGAGAACTGCGTCCTCCCCATATTTCCGGCGAGCCTCCGCTTCAGTGGTGCAGATCATCAGACCTGCCTGCTCGTCCGCACGGAACTTCTCCTCCAGCTGGGAGGCATTCATCTCGGCCGATCGGTAGTTCACCATCGACGGATCAAAATCGGATTCATCAAGCTTCCTGAAGTGGGTGCGTTTCGGAAACACCTGTGGCGTGCGGGGGATCGCTTTGTCCCACCCCAGCGGCACACCTTCTGCGAAGCATTCACTGCCTTGATCAAGTATTGCATAGTCTGGGTCTCCCAGCAGCTTCAAAGACTGAGACAACATGTGCAACATGAAGGGCTGCCCTTCGGGTCGACACAAGGCTTGCTCGGGATCTGGCAAGGTCTCGGCAATGCGTGCCCGGATGTTCTCAATCAGGTCCTTGCTGAAAGGAGAAGATGCCATGCGTCCTGCTTCAAGAAGATATGAAGCTTTCCGAAGATCCGGAAGGGACGACCGCACAGCCTGCACAAGAATTTCTCGCAGCTCCACAGCATGATTCCATTCCCCTGAGCTTGCAGTTGCATTCCTTGCGAGTGGCCTCCATCTGCCCGGAGAGCACAGGCCGAAGCCATCGACCAGCTCCCTCCATTCGCGAGTGTGCCTACACTTTATCGGTGGTCCCCTACATCGACTTGTAGCCGGATCAAAATCCCTTTCATCATCATCTTCTTCCTCACTCTCCTGGAAGCTTGGTTCGGGATTAGGAGGTGCAACGCCGGGAGCCGAAGGAGTGGGCCCCTCCAACGGGGTGCTACTGGAAGCCTCTTGGGTGGTCCCTCCCAAGGGGGTGTTAGCTGGGCCCGGGGCCCCAGAAGCGGCTGCCTCATGGGGGGTGTTATCCTCTCGGGGGAAGTCCAGGTTTGTGTCAGCTTTGTTGCTGTCATCGTCCGCGCCCCCCTGCTTCAGAGTTTCGGACGGAGGCAAGACAAAGCCTAAGGCACGAAGAATTGCTTGCTGGTCTGTGGACAAGTTGGCAGTGCGCTGCACTGTGAAGCCTACAAGCAGTAAGCGATCGCCCGTCCAAGGTTCTGTCTGGTGGAAGACTTCATGCGCCATCAAAATCTGCGGTGAGTCGGCAACAGGCAGGAGGTTGCCTGGGCGATCAACTCCCCGAACTGAACGATGCACCGTGCCGGTGGAGGACTCGCACCACACGTGACCCTGCTGGAATTCCGTTAGGGCCACCAGCAGGTTCGGGAACGGTGCATTTCTGGTGTCTTTGTGCATGGCAGCTGCCACGTTGTCGAAGATTGCCAGCGAGCTGAAAACCTTCCCTGGGAATGTATTTCGCAAGAAGGAAGCGTAACACTTGACAGAATTCGGAAATGCGGTGCAGCTCTGACGCTGGAAAACGCACCTGCGAAGAATGCCCGGCCTGTGGCAGGCCTTCCCCCAGTTGCCGCCGGATGCGGTGTCTCGAAGGGCAGCAGCCTAGCTAAAGCCTCGCAATCATGCTTATGCAATGGTTGGGATCTCTGCATCAAGGACCAGGCGAAATCCTCGGCCCCTTGAAAGGATGAATCAGTCGCTCGCCCTGTGGCTGCACGTTCATGGGCAAGCTCGGCCAGCAACTCCAGAAATGCAAGCGGAAAACTAGAGTTGGTGGCCCACGCAGTTTCGTGGCGCCCTGCTGCAGACGGATGCAAATGCCCACAGCGCGCAAGGGGTCCAGTGTAGTGGCCCCGATCGTCAAGTATGGGCCAAGGCATGGCCGCTGGTCCTGTTCGCAGGTTTGTGATTGCCCGGGTCGGATGCGCCGCCTCCGCCCCATAACTGCACATATGAACTGCCCAAGTCCTTGTGCCGGGCATGTCTGCTAAAGTAGATTTAATCTCATGCCGCTGCCAAATGCTAGCGGGAAAGTCCTCGTTCTCAAGCACGCCTAGGTCCTCGGGATGCAACAGCAGCCACCCAATCTGAAGCTCCCCCAACACGGTGGCCAAATGC